CACACTTGGCGACAATCATCCAAGTATTGCTAATACATATAACAACATTGCAAGTGTCTATGATGATCAAGGCAAGTATGATGACGCTCTATCAATGTATAACAAATCACTCAAGATTAATCTAACACAACTTGGCGACAATTATCCAAGTATTGCTACAACATATAGCAATATTGCAACTGTCTATAATCGTCAAGGCAAGTATGATGACGCTCTATCAATGTATAACAAGTCACTCAAGATTAAACTGAGACAACTTGGCGACAATCATCCAAGTATTGCTACAACATATAGCAATATTGCAAGTGTCTATGATGATCAAGGCAAGTATGATGACGCTCTATCAATGTATAACAAGTCACTCAAGATTAAACTGACACAACTTGGCGACAATCATCCAAGTATTGCTACAACATATCACAACATTGCAAGTGTCTATAAAGATCAAGGCAAGTATGATGACGCTCTATCAATGTATAACAAATCACTCAAGATTAATCTAACAAAACTTGGCGACAATCATCCAAGTATTGCTAATACATATAACAACATTGGAAATGTCTATAGCGATCAAGGCAAGTATGATGACGCTCTATCAATGCATAATAAGTCACTCAACATTAATCTAACAAAACTTGGCGACAATCATCCAAGTATTGCTAATACATATAACAACATTGGAAATGTCTATAGCGATCAAGGCAAGTATGATGACGCTCTATCAATGTATAACAAGTCTCTCAAGATTCGACAAACACAACTTGGCGACAATCATCCAAGTATTGCTAATACATATAACAACATTGCAAGTGTCTATGATGATCAAGGCAAGTATGATGACGCTCTATCAATGTATAACAAATCACTCAAGATTAATCTAACACAACTTGGCGACAATTATCCAAGTATTGCTACAACATATAGCAATATTGCAACTGTCTATAATCGTCAAGGCAAGTATGATGACGCTCTATCAATGTATAACAAGTCACTCAAGATTAAACTGAGACAACTTGGCGACAATCATCCAAGTATTGCTACAACATATAGCAATATTGCAAGTGTCTATGATGATCAAGGCAAGTATGATGACGCTCTATCAATGTATAACAAGTCACTCAAGATTAAACTGACACAACTTGGCGACAATCATCCAAGTATTGCTACAACATATCACAACATTGCAAGTGTCTATAAAGATCAAGGCAAGTATGATGACGCTCTATCAATGTATAACAAATCACTCAAGATTAATCTAACAAAACTTGGCGACAATCATCCAAGTATTGCTAATACATATAACAACATTGGAAATGTCTATAGCGATCAAGGCAAGTATGATGACGCTCTATCAATGCATAATAAGTCACTCAACATTAATCTAACAAAACTTGGCGACAATCATCCAAGTATTGCTAATACATATAACAACATTGGAAATGTCTATAGCGATCAAGGCAAGTATGATGACGCTCTATCAATGTATAACAAGTCTCTCAAGATTCGACAAACACAACTTGGCGACAATCATCCAAGTATTGCTAATACATATAACAACATTGCAAGTGTCTATGATGATCAAGGCAAGTATGATGACGCTCTATCAATGTATAACAAATCACTCAAGATTAATCTAACACAACTTGGCGACAATTATCCAAGTATTGCTACAACATATAGCAATATTGCAACTGTCTATAATCGTCAAGGCAAGTATGATGACGCTCTATCAATGTATAACAAGTCACTCAAGATTAAACTGAGACAACTTGGCGACAATCATCCAAGTATTGCTATAACATATAGCAACATTGGTCGTGTCTATAGTAATCAAAGCAAGCATAAAGAAGCTATTTCCATGTATGAGCAATCCCTTAAGATTCAATTATCAGTTTTGGGTAGCAATCATCCTGATATGGCAGAGTCGTATAGCGGTCTAGGAAATGTATATTTTGCTGAAGGCAAGCATGAAGAAGCTATTTCTATGTATAAGCAATCCCTTAAGATTCAATTATCAGTTTTGGGTAGCAATCATCCTGATGTGGCAGAGTCGTATAGCGGTCTAGGAAATGTATATTTTGCTGAAGGCAAGCATGAAGAAGCTATTTCTACGAATGAGAAATCACTCAAAGAGAAACAAGAGAAACAAGAGGAACAAGAGAAGCAAGAAAAGCAAGAGGAGAAACAAGAGGAGCATGAGGAGCAAGAAGAGCAAGAGGAGAAGCAAGAGAAGCAAGGGGAAAAAAAGGAGCAAGAGGAAAAAGAGAAGCAAAAGGAGCTAGAGGAGCAAGAGAAGCGAGAAAAGCAAGAGAAGCAAGAAGAGCAAGGGGAAAAAAGGCATCAAGAGGAGCTAGAGGAGAAAGAGAAGCAAGAAAAGCAAGAGAAACACGAGAAGCAAGAAGAGGAAGATGAGTTAGCAGGTACCATTGAGCGTTTTGTAAGGTGTTTGATTAGATATTTGCTTTAGGTATTCTGCTTTTCATTATAATTACAGCACTAACAGCACACTACGACACCATACTGAAGTATTGCAGTCGGTAAACAACATGTCCACCAAGTATTTCTTAAAGTATAAGCGTTTCAACCCTGTTCAATTCTAAGTCGGTCTATTAGTCTAATAAGATCTAATAGATCGCGAAAATCGTTCAATGACAAACCTATTGTAGTAGTAGTGTGTAGTACAGCCCCAATATAACTTAAACAGTGATTCTAAGGTGGTATGAGTATTCGTGCTAGTAGTTATAATATTGTTACAGTTTGGTATATCGTGATGAGATGGAGCTGGAATTAACTCACGAGGTACTCCGACTGTCGGATAGCTGATATATTCGACCTACTGACTCACAACAACTTGGTAATCTTCGGTTAAGTATAGTAATGCTTTATTTCTCTATTCTCTAAACTGCCCATAACCGCGAGTTCAGAATAACGCAATGCACGTAAATCCTAAGTTATTGCCTGGCTATGCAGGACTTATAATCTCTGAAGAGAAATTCAATTTACTAATCGTTCACGCTCAACTACGAGCTCTGAGAAAACAACTTTGCCAAATACTTGAATACTATACTATTTAAATACAAGTATTCGTAATGGTAATTGTGAGACTGATACGTCCCTTTACGCGTAATTTACATTCTAAACTCTACGCGATACAAAACT